AAAGAGTGTTAATCTGCGTACTTCCTTGTCTCTCTGCAACAGCCCTGAAAAATAATAAAATAAATAATGTGACTGAGGTCTAGCAGTAAGACTGTGTCATGGGCTAAACTGTCAGGCTACTAAAGGAATTGTTACGTTCACCAAATGTTGTTTTATTCCTAGTTTTTTCTTCCTGGAATCTTCTTACAGAAGCATGCAATCATTCAAAGAACAAGTTTGTCTGAAGCAAATTATGTTCTTAAATATTTCCTAATAGTTAATTATTGTCTTTTCAGCTTATAATGATGTGCTTTGAATTATGCTTTAAATCAGGAACTGGAACTTAAAAATCAAATGTGTTCTGTAAATTGCAAACAAGGCAGTATGTTACTGTTCCATGTTCTTGGATAGAATTCTTTTGGGCTTAGAATTACTGCAGATCCATGTCTTCTAACGTGTGACTTCTTCTCTAAATGTATTATGATTTCAAATTAGATTTATTCCTGAGCATCTGAGAGTGGAAGAGGCCAAACTTCTTCCTCAGGCTTCAGAGATCTTTTTTTCAGACATCAGCTGATACCCTACGAGACCAAAGACTTACATAGTCAGCATCTTCTGTCCAGCAGTGGTCAGTCGTAGATAGCTAGGGGAAAAAAACAGTGCAAGGACAGAGCAAGCATCCAGCCCACCCAGGTCCCTCTGGACACCAGCACACCCACTGTGCTACCGGCCACCCCCAGCCCCAGTTTGGTGGGTGCCAGCAGGGCCGGGTGCCAGCCCATCCTCACTGGAGAAACAAGCTGCCCATGGTTTGGATGAGTGTACTCTTTGCTAGATAAAGAACTGGCTGAATGGCCGAGCGCAGAGAGTGGTGGTGAATGGATTTAAATCCAGCTAACAGCTGGTCATGAGTGGTGTTCCCCAGGGCTCAGTTTTGGGTCTGGTCTTGTTTAACGTCTTTATCAATGATCTGGATGAGGGGATCAAGTGCTCCCTCAGTCAATTTGCAGATGACACCAAGCTGGGTGGGAGTGTCGATCTG